AGATGTTGGATGCTGCAGATGTTGGATGCTGCAGATGTTGGATGCTGTCTATCATGGTGCACTAAGATTCATAACTGGCTGTAACTACCGTACCCACCACTGCACCCAGTATTCACTGGTTAACTGGTCACCATTAACTTCACACAGACTCTCTCACTGGTACATTTTCATCTTTAAATCACTTCCTGGTCTGCTGCCTTCATACATCTCCTCCTACATGTCTCTGTGTGAGTGCAGCTACAGCGTGCGCTCTCAGGACATCATTACCTGCAGTGTTCCCTCAGTGAGGACTGAACTAGGCAAAAGGACCTTCTCCTGCTCCGCTCCTGTTTCCTGGAATATCTTGTAAAAAGACCTGAAGCTCTCGACCTTTGACCTCTCTAAGTGTCTTTAAGAATCTGTTGGACTCCTGGCAGGGTCCAATGCAGACATGTTCCTGTTTTTAGTTTTCTACATTTGTCTTGGAATCTAGCTGTTTTTTTTGTTACTTTTTTTGCATCTTATTTGTTTTATTTAACAAATTGTATGCCTTTTTATAACTGTCTACTGTCGTCATCATTCTTTGTTAAAACAATCAGGTCTCTCTTGTAAATGAGTCCGCGAGGCTCAATGGGATTAACCTGTAGAAATAAAGGTTGAATGAAAAATCAATATGATCTGTCAGAGTCAGGGATTTATTTGTCATTTGCTTCTAATGTGTTGGAACAAAGTTATGTCCACAGGGTCCAGTTACATCCAACAATAAAATGTAAAATAAAAACAGTAACAAGGTCAAAGACATGAACTAAGAACAACATCAACTAAGCATTAGTAGCATAAAAACAACACGTTGAACAGCAGCACGAATGAACACCGCAACATGAAACAGATCAGCAGCAGCATGAAACAGATCAGCAGCAACATGAAACAGATCAGCAGCAGCATGAAACAGATCAGCAGCAACATGATATGGTTTTTCACAGTGATTATTCTAGTTAGAGGTTCATGAGTCTAACAGCCTCAGGGTAGAAGCTGTTCCTCAGTCTAGTGGTTCTACACTTAATGCTCCTCAACCTCCTTCCTGAGGCGAGTGGGGCAAAAAGTGTGTGTGCTGGGTGAGTGTGGTCCTTCATGATTCAGGTGGCCCTCTTCCTGCATCTGGAGGTGTAGATGTCTGTGATGGTGGAGACTGACTCCAACATCTTCTGTGCAGCCTCGATGCCACACAGGTGTGGAAGGAGGTCCTCACCACATCCCTTCTTCTCGCCCGCAGGTCGATTTTCTCCTGTGGTGTCTGTGTGGAGCGTGCCACACACCCACTCCACAACAACGACGGCTTTGGCTTGCATCTTCCAGTGTTTCCTCTGTCAGCACGTCCAGCAGAGCTGCAGCTCCTCCAGGTCCAGCCCTGACGCCAGCGAGGAGCCCTGCCCCACTGACATGGTGAAGATGACCAAGTCCAAGACCTTCCAGGCCTACCTGCCATCCTGCCATCGTACCTACAGCTGCATCCACTGCCGGGCGCACCTGGCCAACCACGACGAGCTCATCTCCAAGGTGAGTTTCCCCGAGGTTCGTTTCGAACCAGCCTGTGACCCGGCTTCAGGTCCGTTGTATTTCAGGCCAGCTCTATTTCCTGATGTTCTGAAGGTTTTCTGCGGTCAAGCACTTGAACCGTTCTTGCATCACAACGTTCAGCTCATTCGGGCGTGGCCCCGTCACGTTTGGTTTTAACGTTTCAAAGTATTTCACTTTATATTTAAAAGTATTTCAGAAACTAATCGAGAAGAATTCAATTAAAATCCTTCAAAAACATCTTTGAAATCTGCCTCGGCTCCTGTTTTGTCTTCCTATGACAACTTTAGCTACCATTTTGTGACTTCTAGTTTTTAGCTACTGATTTGCTACATTTAGCTTTTATTCTGCTTTTTTGCTTTTACCTGTCATTCTGCTCCGTTTAGCTTTTAGCAACAGTTTTGCAGATTAAGCTGAGTGTTGCCCTTGTTCTCAAGTTTTGCTCCATGTAGCCGCAGTTTTAATACGATTACATTTAGCTACTGTTAGCTTTAGCATTTATTTAGCTATTTTTAGCTTTAGACATATTTAGATACTTTCCTACTGGTTTTAGCTGTTGGCTGCAGCTTATGTTCAGTGACTTCTTTAGCCAGGTTGAGGGAAGTCCTTCAGCTCTCAGCGTCTGTGTGAAAAACGAGTTCAGGCCTCCTGCAGCTGCCTCGGCAGCCATGTTTGCTGCCACCATGACGGTGCGTGTGACAACAACACGCGCTTGTAACGCACTCGAAAGACTCATGAGCTGCGAGTGTTGGCCCTTTTCTCTGGGCTGTAAATAAAAACAGAAAGTGATGACTGATGTGGGTTACAGTGACACCGCACAGTCGTTTTTATCGGCATCCGCGACGTGAGAAGACCGAAGAATCAGCTGAACAGCTAACTAGACGGTAAAGTAACACTAAATGCTTTCATGCAGGTGGATTAACTGGAGGATGGAGGCTGGATGATGGTTGGATGGAGGCTGGATGATGGTTGGATGGAGGTTGGATGGACGCTGGATGATGGTTGGATGGAGGCTGGAGGATGGTTGGATGGAGGTTGGATGGAGGCTGGAGGATGGTTGGATGATGGTTCTTCAGGTTCGTCTCTCATTGGAAACAACAAAGTAGCTGAAAACTAGCTAAAATCTGATTTGAGCAACAGCTGAAAGGAAAAATGAACAAAGCCGTAGATAAATGGTACATGGACTGCACCTATACAGCTCCTTTCTATCTGGTTCAGACACTCAGAGCTCTTTACAACAATCTGTGCCTCATAGAGCCGTTCATACAGCTCTATACTAGATCTGTACAGAGAGAACTGAACAAATCATTCTAGAGACTCATCAGAGCTTCATCACATTCACACACTGATGGACACATCAGAGGCTGTGAGGGGTTCAGTGTCTTGCCCAGAGACACTTCGGCATGTGACTGCTGGTGGATTCGAACCCCCAACTCTCGCATTGGAGGACGACTGCTCTAACCACTGAGCCACCGCCGCCCCGATATATATTTTAGATATAAACTAATATTAACTAAACTTTAGCTAAAAGTCCAAATTAAAATAACATCCGCTTAAAGCTAAAACTTGCAAATTTAGCTCCAACAAAAATTGGCCAAAGTATAAATGAGCAAAACTGTAGCTAAAAGAAAAAAGTGGCAAAACTGTGGGGAGAAGCTAAATGTAGCAAAACGGTAACTAAAAGCTAAAATTTGCTAATAAAGTAGCTAAAGGCAAAAATGGTCAAAACTGTTGGTAAAACATGATATTAGCTTAACTGCAGCTAAAAGTCAGTAAAGAACAATAGTAGCTGAAGGAGCCAAAGAGTTCTTGTGTGTGTGGACCTCAGGTCTGACACCCGGCTCTCGTCACAGGGACTGACCCAGTTCCTCGGCGCTGCTGAAGCGCGCGAGGCTCCACAGGTGGAGGCGCAGGTCTGACTTGAAGACACAAACAAATATACAAGTTCTGGGACAGGGTGTCAGCTCTGTTAGCAAAATACCTCCACACTCTGGACCCATTTTATGAACTATTTACTCGTTTTTTCTGTCTAACTCAAGATGGCCGCCACAGCTAATCAACTTTAGCTTATTGTCTCTGCTCCTCCAGGGCTGCAGAACTGAAGCCACAGCGTCTCGTTTTTTTTTTTTTTTTTTTTTTTTTTTTTTTTGTGCAGCCATTTTTTATTTTCGGAGCCAGAGGCCAAAAACTTGGGAGGCGCGGCTCTACCTGTAGGCCCCGCCCACTGATGCTGACAGACCCTCAGTTGCAGGGTAAACTGAAACCAGCACACGTAAACGTACAGCAGCAGGAAAAGAGCTGCACAAATCAACACCGAGAACATTAATGTGAAGTGTGCATTTATATTTGTCTTGTGTTTACACGGAGGGGGCGGGGCTTATAAATCTTACAGGAACCAGCCACTAGGAGGCGCGTGTCCTTTGTGCCCTCAACTTCTGTCCTCTCTCTAGTCCATGTTAAGTCTGCAGTGAGCACAGATGTTGTACAGACATGGAGCTAACGTTTGGCCGTCCCTGCTCCCTGTTCTCCGGTTGTTCTCGTCCTCCGGCCAGCGTGCAGGTGGCGAAGGGACAGGTGGAACCGGAGACGGCGTTCCTCAGCTGTAACGTGATCTGATGATGATGTTCTGTGTGTTTCAGTCGTTCCAGGGCAGCCAGGGACGAGCCTACCTGTTCAACTCCGTGTGAGTACCTCCACTGCACCACTGCGCACCTGTACTTTGTGCACCTGTGCTGTTCTGACGTTCACACGCTGAACTTTGACCTGAACCAACTCCACACCTGCAGCTTTTTAACGAAACATGAGAGAAACAAATCAAAGACGACGCGCCAGATGTGCTGATAAATCTTATTAATTATAAAAATATTATGTGACCTCAAAGAAAAGCTGCATTCAGTCACATCTGCCTGTTAGCAAAATATCTCTCAGGACAGATTTCATTAAAACATCGAGGAAGTAATCCGTGCATCTACCAGCTGGACTCCATTCAAGATGGCTGCCACAGTGGTCACGTTCCAGCTCTGACTGGTAGTAGCTGACAGTCGTGCACAACACGCACTCTGAGGGCCGACAGCTGCACCACGCTAACGTGCTCGTCCAAAACGACCGCACCGTAAAACGTCGTGGTCCAGAGTTCGTCCTGAACCTTGTCCAAATCCTCCAGTTGAAAGAGACGTGGACAAATGTCTCCGTGTCCACACCAACAGGAAGTCTCAAACTCCACAGCTGCACATTTACATCTTCTTCAGCCTCGTCCTAACGGGCTGCGGTTCTGATGGGTTCTGTCTGATGTGTGACCCGTGTCCTCTGCTTGCTGTCCTCCTCGCAGGGTGAACGTGGGCTGCGGGCCGGCTGAGGAGCGGGTTCTCCTCACGGGTCTCCACGCTGTGGCGGACATCTACTGTGAAAACTGTAAAACCACGCTGGGCTGGAAATACGTAAGTCCCCTCCCCCGCTGCCTCTGCTGGACCTTTGTGCTGGTTCTGGTTTCACAGGAGACTGGTTCTGTTACTCTGGGCCGACGGAGCACCGCGGCTCTGTTGAAGCGCCTGTGACGGTTCTGTTGGGCTGTGGTATCGGAACAGAACCACGGAGCCTCTGAGAGCCCGCGGCGGCTAAACGTCACGCCATTTCAAGAGACTTGTCCCCGTCTCAGTCTGAGCTGCAGCGTTGGGGACGAGGACACTGCTGCAGGAAGTCCTGACGCTCAGCAGGACCGGGACCAGAACTGTTCCATCTGTTTGGACATGAAGACAAGAATTCTGTTTGGACATGAAGACAAGAATTCTGTTTGGACATGAAGACAAGAATTCTGTTTGGACATGAAGACAAGAAGTCTGTTTGGACATGAAGACAGGAGGTCTGTTTGGACATGAAGACAGGAAGTCTGTTTGGACATGAAGACAAGAAGTCTGTTTGGACATGAAGACAAGAAGTCT